CACGGGTTCTTGACGCCCTCTGCGGCACATCTCCTTCCGAAGCGCGAGACAGCGGGCTGCGCGTTCTTGTTAACAACTCCATCGAGCTCGCACGTCTTGTCGCTGTCCAAAAAGCTGTACTGCGTGTGAATATGCCCACGGTATTGCCCCACCAAAGAGTCGTGTTTGAGTCTGAAACAATGGAGGACCTTGGCGGCGAAGATGAAGAGTCATTGACCGGGAGGGAAATATGCTGCGTCGCTTTTCCCGGTGTGATTAAACATGGCGACGAGAACGGTGGGCATTTGCAATACCGCAATGTCATTATTAAAGCGAGGGTGCTGTGCAGCCCTGATGAGTAGGGTGTAGCCATGTGCAAAGGAACATGGTTTCTGCACTCACCACGCCTCAGAGGTTCAGACCTCGAAGATACTTACGGAGCTATAAGATATAGCTTTCTTTGCTGTGCTGGGCATTTTATACAGCGTTTATACCCGGCCATTATATATACAGAGTATGCATCCTAGTTTCTATAACGGATGGCTGACAGGAGCCAATCAGTTAAGATCTAGGATAGTACGTGTTAATGAATTATGAGGATATTTCTAAAATTGCTAGACCGTTGACTTATATGGTCATTTGATGTTCGCGCTCGATTTATTAACCATATGTTACACGATGCAGCACAATGTCACATCGTTAATAGCGGATACAGCAACGAAAGATACGATGGATATCGGGTGGTTGGTAACCAAGATAAATTCATCCTAACTTTGAAAAACTTTTACTGTCTCCTTTGATCTAGGCAGCTTTCTCATCCCACGCACTCGCTATCTTTTGACTTTCTTGGGTTATTCTTTGAGGCCGTTTAATAGGTCACCAGCAGGCTGCATTCCTAATCCAGCATAGGTTTCAAGATCCTCGTCACCGTAGGGCTGATCTTCACTTCGGCAATGCATGCGTGCCAACTCAAGCGTTCCTATTACGTGCATTCACGGTTCGAAGAGATCCTCTTTCAAGACTTCAGAAACACGTACTAGAATGTGATAAGATCCAGCCATTGCATTGAAGCCTGCTTGGCAATCAAGTGTCTCGGAGCCGATGCGAGATATAGCAGGCATAGGCGGGTCATGCTGCAGGTCGTGATGGTCGAATTGACTCATACCTGAAACCTTCAAGGGTCTAACGCGGGTATTGTCTTGCATGCAGATCAAGTATGGACTTTGTACTTTGCAGAGAATTCGTAGGGAACTGGTTTAATCAACGCTCTCTGATGGGAAAACATTGTCGTTGTGTGTAGTTGGACTATTCTTCGATTCCTATTTATAATTAGTTCTGTATATGAAAATAGAAATTCGAATTGGTTATGCTTAAAAATATACTTGCATGACGAAGCTGTTTGGAACCCTACCATGGGTCAGACGAGTAGTTTGACGGACCGGGGTTTTACTCACCAATTTGCCAAGCCATGAGACCTTAAAGAGGTCCATCGACACCCATTTACCCTGTCTTGAGCCTCAATTTTGGGGGTCTCTTGTATTCCCCGCGCTCTGGTTCCCTTCAGGAAGACCGAATAACACAGTTGATTCAGGGTTCCCCTCACCCATCTCTTCCATTCCGCCTCATTCCGCAGGCTATTCATAGTGTGTCCCAAGATAGAAGAGCTGCCTTCTGCTTCGAACACCTGCCTGTCCTGTCTGAGAGATTCTCTACGGACATTGAGACATTGTAGTTTCAGTTGGCTCCAATTCGATCCGTGAATTGGTGTCACTCACCTACGACCTAGTACACCCAGCGATGGTGTCCACGTCGTAGCATCCAAGACACATCTACCAGCACCAATTGGTCGCCTTCTTGCACAACCATGCCGACCATCTTCGGCTTCGTCCGAGCCAAGTACGATCATTGCATACTTGAGGATGGATCTCCACAACGTGACGATTTCCCCACGGGCTTCGTTGGTACAGTAAACCCGGACTACCACGCAATCGGCCATGCATGCACCGAAGCCTTGCAGCTCGAACCCTTGTCTGCACTGCATTCCCCATGATTTTGGTGCGTCGTCGTTCATCGAAATCCGAGTAGTGGCTTGGGGGCCGACGGCGAATGGGAAGCATCGTACAGTAGGTAGAAGCGTGGTTCAGACAACGCTTTCGAGGTAGAGGGGCCGGTCATGGAAATGGGCGCTGGTGCTGACGCCGAGCTGGACGTGGTTAGGTTAAGGATAAGAAGGTTAGCTTTCCCTTCTCTTTGTTCTCTCTTGTCCATCGTTACCCATCAACTCATACCTCATACCTCTTCCTTCTTCGTTCAGCTCACTTGAGATCTCGAAGCCATCATTTCCTGTCCCTCGTAGTGCTTTAGATTGTCTGTCACAGCCTTTACCCTCGTCTTTGTCGTCGGTTGTCAACACCAGTCACTGTCTGTTTTAGCATCCTCCAACTGTTAGCTTCTATCATCGTGACCCTCTCTCATACCTTTTACCAAGACAATTTCATCCCCGTCAATAGACATCCTGCTGTTCCTTGACCCCTACTCCTTCCATTCTTGCCCAAGATGCCCGATCTAGTCAGGGACATAAACGGTTTCTTGGGTGAACACAACGCCAGAAGAGGAATGCAACGAGATGCATATTCCACCACACCTCGAAGCTATTATGCTCCGAGTTTGATGCTCTCGGACCAAGCCACAAATGCCCCCTCTACTTATAGCAACGACATGTCAACAAACAGCAGTTCAACGTATTTGTCGTCTTGCTTTGACAGGCCAATGGCCCATACCTCGTCTGTTTACTCTGCCCCTTATCGTCCTTCTGTCCCACCCACACGAGCACGTACAATTGCTTCTCCTCTTGTATGCGAGTTCATAGGCTTTGGGCAATGCAACGCGACCTTTGACTGGGACGATGAAGCCGACTGGATTACGCATATCGCAAATGACCACCTTGGCGGTACCTTTCCTTCGGTCTCCGTCTGTTGGTTTTGCAACCATGAACCATGGGGGGCAGCCTCACAGAGCCAGTCGGAGTCTGAGGCTTGTTATCGAAAACGGATGCATCATATCGCAAAGCATTTCCGTAATGGCAAGTCCTGGGAAGATATGCGTCCGGATTTCTACTTTGTCGACCATGCATATCAATATGGATTGATAGATGAAGAAATGTTCCAAAGAGCAACACAATACCACGAGGTTCCGCAGATCCCAAACTTATATCCTGCCGGCTCGCGGCCCGGACATCGGCCCCAAACGTCGGTACAAGTGGAGACCAGTCGGCCGCGACATCGGGGGTCGGCTCGGAGTCGGGCTGAAAGATATTATTGAGTTGGCATGCGACACTCGACTGCCTTTCAGACGATAGGTTTCTCTCAAAGAGCCTTTAGTTTGGGCGACGTGACGGCAATGTGCAGACTTCTGTCATTGATCGCCTCCGATACACTTGCATCAAGGCCCTTTCAGCGCGTTTTCCGACAGTCTCCTGGTACTACAGGCCAGATGATTGGGAACCATTGTTCGATGTTTGGTGTCTTTCGTTACGTTTTTATTCGTTTTTCGGCGTTGTCTAGGAAAGCTCTATGCTATGAGTCGTTGGGCTAGAATGATCAACTAAGAATGTTAGCATCCAGAAACAGGCATGCTTTGGGACAAACAAGGAGGACCACTATACTTGTTCTCGAACTTGTTTCCTTGACACCGTGTCCTTTGATTTGTTGTTGGCCAAGGTTGAGTCTCGGATCCAGTTTGGCAAAGTGTCGTTGTACGAGACAGAATGGATTACCAACGCGATCGAAGAAAAGATAATACATACCCTACTCTTATAAATAAATACAATAATAAAAGAGTGTGAAGATATATCTGGCCAAATATCAGGCAGTAGCTAAGCGTCAATGATTGTGGCAATGCTGTCCGAGACCGTGATTGGGCTACCCCAGCGGCGAAATAGTCATCACCAATTCTGCTGACACGCGAGTTTATGAAAATTGTTGAGTACACGTCTTTCACAAAATTTGTCATAGGATTAAATAAAGTCCCAGCTTTCTTGTGATTATGCAAGAATCGTGATTGTCCCAAGTGTCACTTATTAAACCCCGGTTGCGTTCAATTCCAATAGGGTAACTGCTTGCCTCATTCACGGCTTATACTGCTGCCCGAGCACAGCCTCACTACCTCATCGACACCCAACCCTATCATTTACCAAGGCATTAATATGAGGCGAACAGGAATAATTTGTTAGTTTATATTGTCTTTGAGGCCAGAGAAAGTATCGAAATGACCCAGTATCGGCCTGAGACGGCTGTGAACTACGGGTGGCCTCGGGGGGGTAGGACTTCGGAGGTGAGCATTCACCCTAATTATAATTTCTAAGTTGAGATTGATTCATAGTAAATTTAGATCAATATTCTTATAGGTAATAGTATTCAGTGTAAATTTACTGCTATTCTTTACTATTCTTTATATTTTTTTTAAAGTATAGGTATAAGTTTAATAAGAGTCTTAATTAAGTCTAGGTACGTTTGAAGTCTTAATTCCCCCACTTGAGTGGGCACTTCTATGCAACGCAATGAGGCCTTCACCCATCGCAAATTTTAGGCGTTTTCTTTTAAGCCCTAATACCTAAGGCTTTTTTTTTTTTGCCTTTTCGGTTGCCAGAGATGCTTGTCCGGAATGATGATGTTGCTCTCGGCCATTCCTGTATTAGCCAATATGTAGACGCGTGTTGACGCTGTGAACGTAATGTGAATAACAGCCATTGTACTGTATCCTGTTCCAGCCAACTGACTGTCATGGTCGTCATAGTCTCATAGGTCGTTGTTTCATCCAGCAATTGTACTTTGGGGAACAGGCTGAGTTTCGTGATTTCCTATGGAGAAAAGCAGGCACGGTGGACCTTCCACTTGCGGTTTCCCATGCCTTTACATACGGAAGGCGCGACGTCAGATGAAGATGTAGGATGTTTCAACACCGAGCGTTTTGGCATCGGGGTGTATAGATTTTAATATCCAGACGAACCTCAACAACAACAAGTCAGTGTGTCCGAGTGGTTAAGGAGACAGACTTGAAATATCTCTTGAGATAACTTAGACATCTGTTGGCTTCGGCCTCGCAGGTTCGAATCCTGTCGCTGACGTTAAAGCTTTGTTTTTTGCTACTTTGATCCAAAGGATGAAGAAGAGTAAATTATTATTGCGCTTCTGAATGCGATTCTCTGGAATCTTAGACGAAACCTCAATTTTTAAATATTATGCTCTCATAGGCTCCGCAAGTCAGAGTCTATCCATGTCATTGATCATATCTCTTGACTCTCAAAACTATCCCTGAGATGGAGGTGAAAACATTAATGATCACTTCAAAGTTCAGGGCGATCGACTTACCGCATTGGGCAGTGGATGTCCACTTTAGCCTTACCCCACACGGATGACGCATAACCGTTGGCGCGGCATGGCCCGAACCATATGCTAAAAATATCACAGAAAGAATGAAGGTACGACTCCTTCTACAATGTCGCAAGTGACTGGCGTCAATGGATGGTCACCAAACGCAGATACTACGTCTAGAGATTGACCGACCAAGTAGAATGCTCTGTGGCCCATGACAACTCAGCCAACCTCAGTTCACTTCCTTCATTGTCATAGCTTCCGGCCATCAACTTTAAACACGAAAACCAAGAATCATTTGGGACGATAGGATAACTCTCAGTGTAGTCCGCCACAGTACCTTGCTTCTTGTTGGACTAGTTGCGCTCTAGCAAAGTTCATATTCCGCGAAGAGCTCTGGAAGGGCCGCTCAAGGCCATCTACTTCTAGAACCTCATCTCTATCCCACGTTCTGGCTTGTGAAGACAGACTTGAAACGCCTTCAAGACAATGAGATACCTGTTGGCTTCGGCCTCGCAGGTGCTTTAGGTAGGAATGTGCTTTTAGGAATATAAAGAATGCGGCAATGAACCCGAGGCTATCATCGCGTTTCGGCCGACTCAACTCTACTTCGAGGCTATGGCTACGGGCCATGGTTCTTGCATGAAGGCGAGAGCATCCCATAATAGACCTTTAGTTTATCCAATTCCATCTCAATACAGAGTCTACAAGCCTTAGTTGCTCCTTTAGACGGAGTAAGAGCAGCATTCAAGGGCCTAAAGAGGTCTTGGCCCTATCATGGCTTTCGATACCATGATCCCAGGACCATCCTGCCCCGTCGAGCTCCCAATGACGCATTATAGCGACCCGGGGCATCTGACCACTAGTGTAATGCTTTGATAGAGTCTTGAATGATATAGGTAATATAGGTTCCAGTCAATGGCTTCCTCATGGTCTTGGCTTTGTGTAGCCTCTGGTGTGGTGGAGTGTTGTAGGGTGTCTGCAACCTCATCGTCTGTTGGCTGACTGCTCAGGGTCTCCGAACGCTACACCACCATGTTCCCCATTCACCACGCGTAGAAAACGCCTGCTGAGTAGCAGCCAATTTTCGTACGAATAAATACTTAAATGAGACAGTAATAGTTATACACAGAGCTTATGACCAAAGATCCATGCGCGATGGCATGGTGTACCCCAGCTGTCATGTGTTCATGAAATGATGGTTTCTGGGGCAATATCTTTTGGTTCTAAGGTCAAACAGTTGAAAAGCCATTAAAGTAACCGAAACTAGATGAATAAATGTTTCCTCGTCCATAACATCATGCTGCGCTTCGAGAACCAGTATGTTTGAATCCATGTTTATCGGCCCGTATAATGTGAGCTTGGGAATAGCTACGTGTGCTCCTGAGTTCCCTTAAATACCCCCTACGCCTCACTAGTGACATTTTCAAGCCCCAAAAATAAACTGAACGAGTCGCGAAAGCTTCAGTCATCTTCTTTCCCAGAAATGTCTTGCCAACTAGAACAAGTCGCCGAATCTTTGTCCATAGAGTCCAGGAAAATACATCCCGTCGGATCGGTGTTAGAAGGACGTTACCTTTCTTTATTTTGGCCTTTCACACACCCGGAAACGTTTCAAGTTCCAAGAGCACAAGTCAAGAGCCCAACGAGAACAAAAATAGGCTTGGGAGACAACAAACGAGGCGTGAGATGCGGCAGTGACCGCTTGTAGATGGGTTCGAAACCTGATGACCGGCGAAATCTCGTGACACAGGGCTCCATGAGCGAGTTGCAGACAGGACGGATAGGCATTAACCTCAGTTGCCGCCATGCATCGGGACCGCTCGCTACATTTCTATCGCTGAGCGTGCGCCAGGAGCTTTGACTTGGCCTGTAGTTCTGCTATAAGGGCGGCTTGCAAAGATCGCATGGCAAGGGTATATCGGAGGGCTATTTGGGAGAGCTTGTAGGTGGGATAGGGAGGTATAGAAGTTTTTCGGGGATTATAGCAGCGATAGGGGAGGGAAAGGAGGGCATGGACCTGCTGGGCAGACTTGAAGAGGTTCTATAGGGGGTATGAAGGTTGGTCGGGGAGGCTCGTAGCTGGCTGGGAAGGAGAAGTGCAGGGCTCTGGCAGCCGAGGCAACGAAGCCAAGAAAAAGTAGCGGTTGTTGTAGGTTGCAAAGGAAGCTCGGGTCGCAAGGATCATAGTCTGATTTGTGTAGGATCTTGGAGGGGGGCGAAGGATCTGTTAGAAGTGATCCAGACAGCCGAAGCAGACAGCAGCGAGCTGGAACTGGCTCGACAGGGCGAACCTGCGTAGACTCGTAACGAAATTTAAAAGGCTAGCAATCTGGTCTCTCAGAGGACTCACGGAATGATGTGGGCAGAACTTACTTGTAAACTAGCCAAGCCGATATTCCAGCGTCTCTGCGTTGGCTCCTCGATGAGGACTTCCAGGCAACACCACCTGGAGGTGCAGAGTCTGACTTCGTTACCGACTCTGCTTAGAGCCCCATGCCCATGAGAATGGCTGCGTCCATCAGGAGAGAATAACTCGTCAACCGATAGATACACTGTGTCTCGTCAACCCGGAGGGAGAGACGGTACCTCAAATCAACCCATGGGGAGAGGCACATATAACCTCGTTTAATCTTACTCCATGGAGTAGAAGAGGCAGAAGAAGGAAACCTACAGAGGTCCCGCAGTAGCGTGCTTTTGAGCAGCAGTGCGTAGGAGACGTGAGCCCTTTAAGATAACGCGGGCTGGATGGTCTTGGTTGGCATAAGGATCAACCTCTTGGGGAGGACCTCCTTCGCCCTCAAACCGAACGCCGCGGGTGCAAAATGTTCTATTATAGAACACCAAATAAAAAACAAGGGAGTTGCTCATCCTGTCACGCTCACCAATTTCGAACCATTCTTTGATATCGCTAACCCGTTTCATTGCCTGGTTCTGTGGGCTAGTGAGGCTATTGCTAGCTCGCGCAACCTCAAGTTGGCGTACCTAATAAATATTAAGGAAAGGATGAAGGGCACGTCGAGGCATGTCGCAGCGGTGAACTGGTAGTTGAGTTGCTGAATCTGATCTCAACTTCTGGAAATCTTGTTCCATCCGGGTTTGTTGCCATTGCTGTAATTTATTCATAAGGCCCTCGACAACTGTCGTTTTAATCTTCTCAACAACCATCATGAACTCAAACAATTGGCGAAAGGACGCAAGCCCTCTTCCTTAAAGAACCGTCTTTTCTCAAATGAAGTTAGCAAATGAGTATCAAACTTAACACGCAACAGGTAATCACGTAGGACTTTAACGAGAAGAAATTGCCATAAAAACACAAACTCGAATCACTTCCAGACTCTCTATTCTTTTTTAATTTTGCACAACTTAAGATCTTTGGTATTTTCTTCTGTCTCTCATCATGTGCCCCCAGATAGACTTCGTTTTTTAAAAGAGACCATCGCGTCTCCGGGTCCATCACCACCCCCCGATTTTGGCCCAGAGGGCTGGTTCTTCTTCGGGTCTTTACGACCGAGTGACAGTGGGGGCACCGGTGCCCGGACTTCGGGGCGGCGGCCTCGGCCTTCGGCTTGGGAGCCTCGGCGATGGTATTGGTGTTGGTGGTGGTGTTGGTGGTGTTGGTTTGGGCGGCCGGGGCCGCAGGTCTCTCAGGGAGAGAGGCCACAGTTGCTCGCCAATCGTTCGACTGAGGTACGCAATTGTGTTAGTTGGTTCTGAACACTTCATCTCAGCAAGACCTCGATGTAGGTATCTTACGTTCATGATGGATGTGTAGAAACTAAGATCAAAGAGAACGTCAGAAAGGTGATACCATAGGTAGTTGGTAGTACTTACAAATTTTAAACCGACGTTTGTCGAGGGCTTTTAATTAACGTAAAACGACTAAGATAAAATGTTAGCAATGATTCACTGTCGAAAGCCAATAGGACGGTCAGTGGTACCAGCTCGGAAGCCAGCTTTAAGCCATTTGAGAGACTCGCAATAACACAATGAGTAGGCAAAAATGCGAAGAGGGTTGCTCCGATGAGGTGCAGAGAAAGGCTGCGAACGGGTTAGTCGCGTGATAGCTAGACTGAAGGCTCTCGTGCTGAGGGGATAAATAGAGGCATACGTATCGAGGTGTAGAGAAAGGATGCAAGGCGTTGAAAGCAAGGGGAAAGGAAAGGTGACTTACGAGAAGTTGACGATGACTGAGGAGGAAAGAAGAAGGGGAAAAAAAGGAAGGGAAGACACTTTATTGCCTTGAAGTTTTGGGAAGTTGCATGTTGAGTTGCGGGGCTACGCGTCCTTTGCCTACCATTCCTGAGTCTCGATATTGGTTGTCCAGATTTATATGCGATTTGCTAGTTAATTTGGACGCGTCTATATCTAACCTCGGAGCCCCACGGCGGCGGGGTCCCACTATTTATTCGAGCCTATAATTGGTCGCGCATAACCCCACGCCCAGGCTGCTGCAAGCACAGAAGATGGGACGCCACTCCATGGCCCCAGAGTGGCTGCGAAACATCTCTACAGGATTTAGAATAAGCCCAGTCATTTTATTACATGAGACGATAAAAACCTTGCTCTCTCCAATTTTTGAGGCCCTTGGACGATGGAGCGGCAAGAACAAGTTAATACCTCTTGATTTATCGTTGTCGTGCTCCGTTAGTTTTTGTGATCAAAGTGTTCAACTTGTTGGCCAGAGCTTGCCCATCGGTTAGTGGTTATCTATTGCAATTAAATAGGCAGTCGTATAAAAAATTACTTGAAG